CACAGTATCCAGGAAGACAAATGCCCTTCTTTGCATTCGCAGCCGCCACTTCCAACCATATACCAACAGCTTTCAATAGACGGTCTATATCTCCTGAAGAGCCAAGATCTAGAAGGACCTGCCCATTCGCAATACGGGTCATATTAATCCCAGACGCGAGGATAGACAGAGGCTCTGGGACCTTCTCTTTAGGAGCAGAGGCGTTGATATCCGTCAAGAACTTGGTACCCAGATATGGGTCCGCAGCAACTGTCGATACAGACTTTTGTTAGTGATCAATTTTTTAATTGCAATAGTCTTTAGAGTGGTGGATTTACATGGTCTTCCCATCCCGCACCCCGAGCATACTCTTTCAACTATAGCCGCCTGCATGCCTCTGAAGACTATTAGTATTGTAATTTTTGTGGAGCAAGTTGCTAGCCGAGGGTAGCTATTGACTTACTTGCTACTCCGGAATCCACCTGTCAAGTATACCAGAGTCTTCTTCTCATCCAGTGCCGGTGTGATTAGCTTCGCAAACTCGAAGAAAAAGGCTTCGCGCTTGATGGTACTCTCCCTCTTGTGCGAGAATTCAAGTTCTTCATAGGTACCCCCGCTCAATTCGACAAAATCCACTTTGGCCTCTTGAAGCTGCACACAGAGATCGCGGCAATCCTCAACCGTGAAGCCATCCATAAACTCTACGGAGTTAAGCTTTACTGAGACGGAGAACCGAGCATCGTCTACCTTGCGCTTGATTGCTTCAACTATCTCAAAAAGAAAACGTGCGCGATTGGTGATGGAGCCGTTGTACTCGTCAGTCTATTTGGAAAGTAAGCAGATATAACTAGCTCTCAATTCTCGATTGACATACTCTTATATTGGTCCGTTTGGACAGGAATTGTCCGATAAGATATCCATGAGCAGCATGGAGTTGAACACCATCGAATCCTGCTTCGTGACAAAGCCGTGATGATTCGGCAAATTTCCCCACAAGCTCACTAATACCAGCCTTAGTAAGGGCAGTCGGCTTACCGAATGTCATTCCTATAAACGGCGTTATTTGCTTGAGCAAGATAAAGGCTTATCATGTAATCCATACCTACTCTCTCCCCCTCCAGCTGAATCGCGCTGCAACTTACGGGATTCGGCTGCAACAATGAGTTGATCTGACGACCGGGATGGTTCAATTGAGCGACACACTAAGAATAAGGGTCAAAAAGAATTCTACCCGAGGGGAATTAGTCTCACCAGGCTTCCGTGCTCCTGAGCTGCCACCACCAACTCGTTCAATTTCTCTACTCGGCCTCCAGAGCTATCCTCTAATATAACATTCCCAGGGACTTCAATATGGTTTCGGTCAATCATAATGCTGCCTGTGACAATAATGCCCAGATCCCCATTTCCCCAAGTCTGATATAAAGATACCAGCTTAGGCGTCGAAATTCCGGATTTAGTATGGTCATCTTTATCCCAGGTCGCCAGACGCTCAGTCATAGGGGCCTTGTATATAAATTAGCCCAACGCTTGATTGCTATACATTTTGTAGCCATTTGCAAAGACTAGAGAATGGAACGAATATATACCTTTAACAGCCTGTTCTTCGCTTCACATTTACTGTTTGGCAGTATAAGACTGTCACTCAATTTTCTGTCTGCCATCTTTGCTGGTCCGTAGGTCTGGGATACAGGTCTTTAATGAGTGTAAGATAGGTTTTTCCGTTAATGAGTGGATGTCAGTGATAAGGGAATTCTGGGATAAATAAAGAGCCCCAGAGGTCCTCACGGGTTGAGATAACGCAGTAGCGTCTGGAACTATAACAATAGGTGCATTTGACTAGTAGCACTATCCCCGCAAAATTGCTGATCGTTTCATATTTCCTTAATAGAAAAGTACTCTCTACTAATCTATAGCAATGTCTTCGCCGAAGCTTTCCGCGGACTTGGAGAATGGGGGTCGGAGTTGGGAGTTGGAAAGGGGGCTTGTCGTGCTGCCGTCCTTGTTGCCCCGGACCCGAGACCCGACGAACCCCCACACTTCGGCTTACCCCATAATCTGTACCCCGCGTTTTTATACACCCAGCAATTCGGTGTGGATTATGGAGTAAGGGGTATATGCTGCATGCCGTAAACGGGTCCCTAAAGAGCTATTTATACATATTTCGTCTATTAAGCCATTGTACATGTTAAACATCCAAGTCACTTACACATTCAAAACGAAAGCAAAATCACATACAGCTGAACCACAATCAGCTATACATACCCTTTGCTCACCGGAAAACCATTGAGATTTATCATGGCAGTGTTATTCTCTGTCCCTCTTGCTGCCGTGGCCATTGCTGCGACAGCTCTTCTCGGCCTATATCGATTGCTGCAAATTGGGAAAAGAGATCCTCGCATGCCAAAGGGGCCGAAAACCATTCCAATTTTTGGTAATCTGCATCAGATTCCTGCCACTGGGCTTTTCAAGCAGTGTGTATACCCTACCCCAGAACCACATTTTAGCGAACATGAACTCATGCATAGTCCCGAGGGTTTAGGTTTCGTAACTGGTCTAAGGAATACGGACCGATCTTCACTCTGAAATTCGGACCCTCCAACGTTATTGTATTATGCGACCGCGAGGCTATTCATCAACTGCTAGATAAGAAAGGCGCTATTTACTCTGACCGTCCACACGGATATGTTGGCGACGTACTTACACAGGGTGACCAGGTCGTCCTTTCTCAAATGGACGCGTCGTGGAGAGTCAAGCGAAAGGTCATCGCTCACAACTTTTCCCCTAAGCAGTTGGATGAAAAACACTGGCAGGTGCAAGAAGCAGAGTACGTTTATAACAAATCCCAATATGTGGAATCATGCTCATACCCGGCCCCCAAGAGCTACTGTGCTTATGAATGATTTACTGGTCAACCCTGACGGGTTTTACAATCATGTGCGCCGATACAACGCTTCAGTTTTCAACATTATAGTTTGGGGGCATAGAGGGGCTACCTTTGACTCATTCTGGGCTCATGTAAAAATCCTTGTTTCTTGTCTGATGCCTATATGCTAATTGACTTTCAGACTGTCTACGAAGTTATGGAAATGGTAAGCTTCTTTATCCCAGAACAAGTTGCCGAGTAGTTCTTACTTTTCACGCCAGTGGACCGAAGCAATGGAGCCCGGAGCCAACCCTCCAGTTGATGATTTCAAGTTTCTGAGACACATCCCAGCTTGGATGGCTTTCTGGAAACGACGTGCTTTGTCGGCCGAAAAGTCCATGACTTCTACCTGGGTTAAGGCGAGAGGTATTGTCGATCAACGAAGGGCGAAAGGCAACCATAGAAATTCTATTGCTGATACCCTACTTGATGACTATGAGAAGAATGGGTTTCCTATGACTCAGCATTCCGTCAATAACTTATTGGGAGAACTTGTTCAGGGTGGTGCTGATACGACCGCTTCCCACCTCCTAACATTAATTCTCGCCTTCGCAAAGCATCCAGACGTGCAATAGAAAGCACAAAAGCAACTCGATAGTGTATGCGGTGTTAACAGGACCCCGGTGTGGAATGACTTTGCAGAATTACCATATATAAACTCAATTATCAAGGAAGGAATGAGATGGAGGCCAGCGTAGGCTCTCCTTTCTTTGAGTTCTCTCCCATGATTGTCAATTAACATGTTATAGGGGTGTAACAGGTGTCCCACACCGGACAAGAGAAGGTTCGTAAAACTCCTAATATTGATATCTGTGTATAGACTAATATCATTCCAGATGACTATTACAAAGGAATGTTCATCCCAAAAGACTGCACAATCTTCGTTGGGACCTGGGCTATCCACCACACGGACAGCAATTATACAGAGCCGGAAAAGTTCAACCCCGATCGTTATGAGGGCTTCAGCAAACTCGCGAATGACTATGCTGGCAGCAGCGACTGGAAAGGCCGAGATAAGCATACCCCCTCCTGCTGCGTTTTACTCGATGAAACCTTGCCCGAGAAGCAAAACCGACTAACATTGCGTTCTAGTTTACACCATTACGGATACGGCGCTGGCCGGCGCATCTGCCCCGGCATCCACGCTGCAGAGCGCAACATGTGGCGCATCACGGCCAAGCTTCTCTGGGCCTTTGAGTTCGCCGAGCCGCTCGATCCCGTAACGGGTCAGGTGCAACCGCTCGACGACGAGGCGTATCAGTACGGGATCCTGCAGTCACCGTTGCCGTTTAGGATTCGCGTCAAGGTGAGGAGCGAGGCACACGCAGCTGTAATAAAGGCAGAGTTAAATGGCGCCATGGAGTGCTTGAGTAGATACAATTGAGACTTATAACAGCTTAGAGGTAAAGAGGGAATAGGGGGGAGCGGAACTTGGGCGAATGGGCTATACAAGGTTGTTGTTGTTTATATCTGCTATAGCTTCTGGGAAATCAATTACGTTTCTATAATTGAAAACTTTATTGCAGGTCTTTTTTACTTTATACTTTTAGGTCTAGTGGGTGATGTGTGGGTTATGCTGACATTTACCGTTGCTTTAAAAACCAAACTATAAAGTACTACTATAGCTGACTCGATGGTGAAGTACTCGAAGGTTTTATCCACATCACAAATATCTTTTCAATAAGAAAAGTTTTGTGTTCTATTTAGAGTACCTATAACTAGCCAGATATTTAACTCTATTGTTTGAAACCAATAAAACAATATTCACAGAGCTCCAGGGCCTAGGAAAGTTTAGCTTATAGTATTTGTATCTATTCAACCGTGATACATCAAGTCTCGTGTAAATCGGAAGATAGTGCGGCTAGTGATCACTCCTATTGTTGATATAAGTACACCCCTCAATGTGTTGGAATTTCGCAAACCCCATCGTACTATTTTCCTTTTCGTTCACAACGATGTTCCCAAACTTGGAGTCTGAAAGAGGTTCTATTACCCCTTTCCAGCATTCGCACAAATATACTTGTATATAATTGCGGGTTCACTTGATATATCTTTCAGGTCCTTGATAGGCTCTCAAATCAGATTTAAATCTTTCAGACTAAACTACATGGAAAAGCAGCCCACCACCATCAATAGGAAGGTGGATGCCAGTGATACCCGACGCTAGACTTCCTGCTAAGAAGACCACGCCATTTGCAATCTCAATGGCCTTCATAAGGCGGTTTGATGGATTTTGTGCCTTTGCCGCCTCTATATACTTGTCCTCCAAGCCCGAGCCTGTCAACATTGGAGTCTCTACAAACCCTGGACAAATACAATTAACCCTAATTCCTTCTGGTGCAAAAGTTCGAGCGTCAACACGAGTCATTGATACAACAGCGTGCTTAGATGCATTGTACCCTGGGAGTGTTCCAAGGACTGCGATTCCATTCATCGAGGCCGTGTTAATGATAGATCCCTTTTGAGCCCGGTGATCATTAAAGATCAGGGGAGTTTGTTCAAGCATCTGCTTAATTTCATACTTTTGGCACAAGAAAACCTGCGATTGTCAGTAAATTCCCTCTAGTCCCCATTTGGATAATCAGACTCACTCCCTGGGCATTAATGGAGTTGACGCGGTCGAACGCTTCCACCGACAAATCCGCAGTCTTCGTATTTGTGGCCCCAACGCCCGCGTTGTTGCACGCAAAGTCAAGCCTCCCATAGACTTCGACACACTTTGCAATCATATCCTGGACTGATTGCTTTTCACTGACATTAGCCTTGAAGAGCGTGGTTTTTGCCTCCGGGGTGTCCTTTTGTATCAGACTTTGGGTTTCTTCAAGCGCTCCCAGATTGATGTCGGCTAAGAATAATCGTTTGCAACCACTTTTAGCAAATCCAATGGCGATGGCTTGACCAATGCCTATAATCATAACATTACACAGTCAGTGATCTGATTAGCAGGATTTACTGAAATCACTGGCATAACAGAGTGCAAAACTCACCCGATCCAGCCCCAGTCACCAGGGCAACTCCTGCCTCAATAAGAGGATCCATGTTCGTCAAGTATATGCCACGAGATCCGAGGTATAATGAAGAAGGTATCAAAAGATCCGTGTCAAGCTTTGCGAAATGAGGAACCCGGAGATATTTCACCAGTTGAGACAGATATCTTTAGACCGCTGTAGCATTCTTAAATCCTCAGAAATCCATGCAGCGCTGGCAATCCGCGGGTCGGTAATCGGGTAATTTGTGCGGGGTACATAGGCCCCATACTCTGCGATGCAAGCAAGACTGGTCCTTGCCGATGATTGATCTTAAAAGAGGCAGATACATCTGCAGGTTATGATCAGAAGTTATAACCGCATTCTAAATTTCTCGATTACCTATAGTCTCTTCAAAATGGTGACTTACTTCAAGGACGGTTGTGTTGTTATAACTGGTGCTGCGTCTGGTACGTATACCTTCTGTCTATAACATGCCTTTTGACTAATCAAGCTTGTCAGGTATTGGCAGAGAGACCGCACGTGTCTTTGCCCGCGATGGTTGTATACGACTCTTTCTTGGCGACCTGTCAATAGATGGGCTTTCAGAGACCAAGAATTGGATTCTGTCAGAACACCCAACGGCAAACATAGAGGTTGCCGTCGTAAACATTGCCGACGAAGAAGCCGTGGAAAAGTTTGTCCAAGGCGCTGTTACTGCGTTTGGTCACATCGACTTCGCTGTAAACGCAGCGGGTTTTGCCCACAAGGCAGCCTCGGTGGTAGATCTCAGTGATGGTGATTGGGAGAAGTCCTACAAAGTAAACCTGCGGGGGGTGAGTGGCTTAATCCTAGACTGCTGATGTTGAAAACAGCACTGGATATATGCTGATGCCATATGTGCTAGACGTTTCTCTGCGAGCGCGCATTACTCCGTCAAATGATTCGCCAAAAGCCCCTACCCGGCTACGAATGTCGTGCAAGTATTGTAAATATCACTAGTCTATGTGCCACTATCTCAATTCCAGGCCTGACAGCATACTCGGCAAGTAAAGGGGGAGTTCTTGGTATGAGTAAGACCGACGCTCTCGATTACGGGCCGGATAAAATCAGAATCAACTGCATCGCACCTGGAACTATCGAGACTCCTATGTCTTTGAATTCTTTGGGAGCGGATTATCTGAAAGCAAACGCGAAGCTGACGCCGTTGAATCGGAATGGCCAGCCAGAAGACGTTGCAAATGCTGTCGCTTGGCTTTCATCTCCGCATGCAGGGTTTATTACCGGCATCACTCTGCCTGTTGATGGAGGTTTGAACTTATACACTGGTCCACCTGTATGAGACCATGGTTGTCAGAGCCTGCTATGCTTTCGTCCATAGCTTGTACATGTTCCTACAATGAATGAAAATTAAAATCAACTTATAATATCCTTTGATCATAAATTTTTACTCTACAATACATAACTGAGAAGATGCGATGCGATGAAAAGCCCGTTCATTGTCTATCTCATCGTGGCCCTCACACCGACCCCAATTCCTGCAGCTCCACGTAGTAGACGTGCGGTACTTTAGGGCTTCTTTCTCTATTGCCCCCCCCCTTTCCTCTCTCTCTCTCTCTCTGTCTTTGTCTTTGTGTGCTGATCCTACACGTGCTGGGCCGACATGAATTATACGTTACCTTACCTTACGTAAAGCATACAGGTACAAGCTACTAGTACTGAGTACCTTTTAGGTTGTGCCGACCCGAGCCGACCCCACGACCCCGCAACCCCAGACCCCGCACTTTTCCGTAAAAAGGGGCGAAAAAGGGTTAAAAGGGGGTGCAATCAAATTTTGGTATTTTCAGGTACGCGCGCAAAGCTAGATAGTATTTCTTAGTATGCGTAAAAGATATTCATGTTGGTTCTTCTCCTCAGTCTAGGACCAGCCGTACTCTACCAACGCTGGTCGGTCTAATTCTGACCTAATCAGGACTAAGATACTCCGTACCCTGTAGATACGTATAGCTAGTTACTCCGGACAAATCAGCTCATCGTGTAGCATGCAGGTATAGTTTGATGCACAGCCGACTTGTAACCCCGGAAATACCAAGCTCAAGCTCAAGCTCAAGCAAGCTTTAAAACCCGTCAGGAAATCTGATCTGATCTGTCTACAACAGCTCGCTCTCTCCCCACTACGTAACTGATTCTGCGTTGCTTTTCTCACCGACCTCCCTGAAGCTTGTCTGTTTATTTATTTCTAGGAGATTGCAGAGAGACGTCCATAATGGATGACCGAGGACATACTGGGAAGCTTACCGTAGCTATTATTGGAGCTGGGTAAGAAAAAAGCTACCCCGTCAAACACTCATACAACGCCGAACTAACGCAATTGTCATATTAGGTTCTCTGGCCTCTCCATCGCCCACTACCTGCGAAAAACTGCTGGCTTACAATCCTTTGTGATCTACGAAAAGTCAGAGAAAACTAATGGTGGTGCGGGAACGTGGAAAGAAAACACGGTAGGGAAGAGACCTATAGATCAAGATGCGAAGCTGACGTGTGTCCTAATTTGCAGTACCCTGGCTGTGGTATATATTGACACTGCTCAAACGCTATTTTGATTGTAGCTAATGCCAACAGCGTGTGATGTTCCAATTCATCTTTACTCCCTGAGCTGGGCAAGACGCTGGAATTGGTCAGAGTATCTGCCACTTCAACCCGAGATAGAAAAATGTAGGCGTCTCTCCCAATCATTCACGCGCCCAAGATACTGATGTGATGAAGACTTAGATGAGACCTCGCAAGAACATGGTCTATACCGGCATATTCAGTTTGCTACGGAACTTGTCGAAGGTGAATCAGTGTGCAAAAGCCTAGCTGTGGCAACTCTGACTTTGGGCTAGCACGATGGATCGAAAAAGAACACTTGTGGGAGATGAAATTACGCAATGTCAGCGCAGACGACCCGGCGAATGCTACCTATACGGTCAAACATCATGTGCTGGTCATGGCGTGCGGCCCATTATCCCAACCGCAGATGCCCGAAGGTGTCAAGCTCGATGTCTACCAGGGAACGCAATTCCACTCTCAGCAGTGGAGACATGATGTGACTCTGGGTAGGAGAAGTTCATATTTTTATAGAAAGACTTTGACTGATATATATTCCTATATCTAGAGAATAAAAAGGTTGCAGTCATCGGCAATGGCTGTTCGGCTACTCAATTCATGCCTATAGTATGCCCCCTACAATACAGTATCATCTCAATCAGTTGCAGGCTAACGGCATTCAGATTGCAAGAAAGACTAAATCCTTAACTCAATACGTTTCGTCGGCTCAGTGGTATGTTCCCAGAGTTAATCCACTCTATACAGACACACAAAAGAACATGTTTCGATGGATTCCGGGATACCTGCAATACTATCGATGGCGCTTGGCCTACGCGTTGGAGTCTGAGGCATACAAGCTACAGGGAGGAGAGGGGCCAGCCAAAGTTCGTGCTAAGATTGAGGCATACTTTCTCGCCCACATGCAAGCTACAGCACCCAAAAAATACCACGAGAAGTTGACCCCAAAGTATCCTGTAAGTAACTCTGTCTGTATGTATGATTTGAAAACAGTAAATTGACAACCGATATTTCAGCTCGGATGCAAACGCCTCGTCTACGATTCCAATTATTTCCAAAGCTTGCATGGCGAAAACGTTGATCTGCGCTTCACGAGAGTCACTGATATGTACGAAAAGGGGATCATCGGCGCGGACGGGAGCAAGCAAGAATATGATGTTGTCATATGGGCCACGGGATTTCTGGGTACTTGATCCGCACATCCTGTTCCTAACAGTGCATCCTTACTGACACTTCTAGCAACAATGCCTTTCGCCAATGTCAAACTGGTTGGTCGTAGTGGTGAGGAGATTCACGACAGATGGAATCGCGAGGGGGCGCCTTCAGCTTATGCCGGCATGGCAACCCACGACATGCCGAACTTTTGTAAGTGGTTTCAACCTGTTACATTCAGATCCACTGACCGCATTAGATATGACCACGGGACCAAACACACTCTCTGGACACTACTCGATAACAACTGTGATGTAAGGATGCCTTGCTTGCACTCCCTAAGCATTCTTTCCCGCCCGTAACGGTACTAAAACATGCCATTACTAACAACCATTTCCTATTAGCGAAATACAAGCCCAATGGATCGCACAACTCATAAAGATGCAGCTCGACAATGAGGTCCAGTCATTCGAGGTCACGGAAAATGCAGACCACGGGTACAACGCATGGATCCGGAAAAGAATGGAGCAAATGGTTTGGACGAGCAGTCTATGCAACTCATGGTTCAAAACCAAAACCGGTCTCATCCCCACCAACTTCCCCGGCTCAACCATGTAAGTCCCCCCTCATCCATACCCACCCACCCATTCCTATCCTCTGGCTGACTCAGCCACATCAGACTGTACTGGACAAAAGCATACTACCCGAACATGAAACACATCCGACAAGTCGGTGGCACGAAAACAGTGCACGGCACTAGCATATCGCGGGAGATTACTAAGAGCGTTCTCACGCTGATAGCCATCATCGCGCTAGGCGCTGCAGTGAAGTCGAAGAAGTTGGCCCTCTTTGAGCATTTGGGCCACGCGAAAAAGCTGCTGTATAATACTTGCCGCGAAGCTGTCTTGCAGCTGCGCTCGCTGAGTTACAATATCCCCTATATATAAGATTGTAGTTTAGGTTTAGGCAATGCAGGCCAGTTTTTTTTTTTGGCATGGTATAATTATGAATCTGTATCCTGTGCAACTGTACCATGATTGGTAGAAGAGATAGAAACCAGGCTTATGTTTTATGTTGCGTTTGTTATATCGAGAGATAAGAAATGGATTTCAAAAGGAGGAATACATTATTAAGATGTTGTTTACTAAGTAACAGGAACCATTTACTTAAAAAGTGACTGAAATATCTCGGACACTCTGGAATATAATAGGTATTTAAAGCTTTCCAATAGTAGGTACTCTAATTCGTGCACGCACTTTCTGTCGATATCTATGCTGGAACTGGTGGCCCAGTTGCCTTTGCAGAAACATGATCCAAGATGTACTCCACGAGCAAAGCATCGCACTCATCTTGAGTTTTGTGGTCACATATCGGCCAACCCATAGAATATGTATGCATTTGGCCATGTCCAATATGCTCCGTGATCTCCACGCCTGCCTTACGACTCCGCTCAATCCACCTCGTGCTATCACTGCACAAAATCTCCGTCGGTGCCCAAAACACAAGCTGCGGTGGCATTTTCCCCACGTCCTCTACCAGGGCCGCGGAAATTTCGGGAGTGTCGAAGGGTAGATCAGAGGGCCGGAGGAGGTCGTTTGTCGCGTGTGTCGTCTCGTCGTACTGGAACATGAAATCGGAATGCCAGTTGGGGGAATTAATTGTCTCGGCGCCTGTCATATCTGTCCAGGGAGAAGATAAAATCCCACACGCAGGCTGGGGCAGATGGGCTTGGTCGCGGATATACAGAAGGGTCAGGAGGGTTAGATTGCCGCCTGCGGAGTCGCCAGCGAAGACGATCCGCGACGGCAGAACGCCTTGCGAGAGGGTCCATTCGTATAGAGATACGACAGCTGAGCGTTGAGCTGGCCACTTCATAGAAGTCGACAGTGCTATTGAAAATCAGCTTCGTCGGGCTAGGACTGGGATCACAATGAAAGAAAAAAAGAAAGCTACACACGGTATTGCGGCGCCAAAAAGACAAAGTTTCCACCCTTTTCTCTCCCATGCTGAATCCACCTCTGATAATCTTTCAAGTACTGTAGCGGGTGCCCCATTGCCATTCCTCCCCCGTGTACATAGATCACCACAGCATCAGCGAGTTTCAGATCAGCCGGTTTCGTGGTGGGGACTACATATGTGGTGAAGCCTGGCGCTTCGATCTTCTGAACGTCGTGCTTGGAAGGTTCACTGTACAAGATCTGGGCATTGTGCACAAACATCGTGCCAATCCAGCTGCGTGCAATATCATTGCGCAGAGAGAGTGGACGCGATGAGAAGGGCAAGAGAATGCGTCCGAGGAGGAGACGGACGGTAGCAGAGCTAGCCAGCACGAGAATCTTCAGTGAGCTTATGGGGGAAGCAAAAACGACGGCCCAATTGATGGAAGGCATGGTTGGGTGATGCAGATTGGAAGTTGGTTCCAATTGCCTCAAAAGCAACCATGTGGTGAGTTTTGCTGACAGGAATTCCAAACACTACGAGGAGGAAGCCATGTATCGTCACGAGCACTAGAACATATGCATAAGTACGTACCTATACTCCGTACGTTGCAGCTATTATCTTTTCTCCACTGTCGATCAGGGGGGGATTTGCTCTACCAATCGGCAGTCGGTATCCCCAACCTTACCCAGCTACTGTATCGCTACCCCTGTTCTCGCCTAATTTTGTTCCGCGGGTATGTTTTGTGAAAATGGTCCGCGGATATACTGGACGACACCATACAACAACGCGCCTGGCACCGATTGTAGGATATATCTGCCCTAGCTGGTACCAAAGTTCACTTTTTCGCGGTTTTTTTGAATCAAAAAAATCCCTATTTATAGGAAATAGGAGGTCATCTTAAAATAGTCGAAAGAGGGGGTTTTGGGCGGAGTTGCTGGTTTTAGATGGGAAGTTGGCAGGTTTGAACTGCAGTAAATTATAAGAGCCATACTATAACCCTGGGAACATAATCCAAGAGAGAAATGCTGTCTCAAGTATCTAGAGGCACAGACTGAAATTTTACTTGAGATGGACGATCGGTATCTGGAGACACAAGTCAGGCTCGTTTAGTCGCATAGTTGAGAAAGTGACAATATAGACGACTTTGCTTTTTTTTTTTACGAAGTCCATAAGATTATCTCATGTTCGAAGAATTTCATTGCAAGACGAGTGATGGATGGTTGATCCACATACCGCCTACAGCAATTTCAGATTCGCTCTTGCAAAAACTGTACCATAGCCTTCCAACCTTCACGAGTTGCTTCCACTTTACTTCCGTCAAAAGTCATGAATCCATGGCAAGCACTAGGAATAAACTTTACTATCCCTTGATTCCCAGCGCGTACCCATTTGAAATGCATGAGCAAGGTATCCTCCATGAGAGCGTCCTCCGTCCCAAGCAGAAATAGCGCTGGTGGCATTCCCTTCATGTCGTTGTACGCCGGCGAAACAAGAGGGGATTTCCGCTCTTCCGTCGTCATATCCTTAAGGTAGGTAGACAAGAATTGCGCTGCGTTCTCAGAGTCCAAGATAGGCGTTGTATCTGCTGGACTCTGGCGCAACACCGGTAGCATGCTCAGATCGAAGCATCCATAGTTCAGGATGGCGCCTTTTAAGGTGTTGATAGCCTGTACTTGACGAAGATGGAATAAGACTACTGCGGACAGGGTTGCACCGGCAGACTCTTAAGTTAATAACATGATTACAAGCTATGGCGAGGGACGTACTTCTCCACCTATGAAATTAAGATCCGCGCCGAACTGCGCGGGTCAGGTCAGCAAACAGGAGAATGATGGTAGTAGCTATCAATATACCTTTTCACGTCCAAACTTGACCATCCAGTCTGCAACGTCGTTGCAGTCCTCTATTGCTGCTGGGAATACATATTCGGGAGCGAGACGATACTCGACAGAGACAACTGTAAGCTGTGTTTCGCGTGAGACGTGGTCGAGCAGTAGGTCTTGCCTATTAAATACTAGTCAGCATATTCGGACACCTCACTACGTAAACTCAGAATAAGGCAAAGACCTACGCTGCTGCTGACCCCAGAACAAACCCGCCGCCATGGATATGCAAGAAGATACCTTTCAAATTCTTCGGGTCAGGAGCCTCAAACACTCGACAAGGAATATCGCGGCCGCTCTCTCGAGATGGGACATTAATCTGCCTTCCGCGCTGAACAGTAATTGGTTGTGGAAACGGCGATAGGCCAGCGGCACGTAGCTGCCGATATTCCTTGGCTCCAATCTTTATAAATTCAGCTATCGATTTGTAGAGTGATTGTGGTGTCAATACCTCCCACCACTTGCTATCTTCTTTGGATTTCTCAATCAAGGTTTTGTTTAATTGCAACGTCGAGGGATGAGCACTCTCGGGACGGAAAGGTGTGAAGTCGTATTTGATATCGGACTCGAGTAGCGACCGCCCATCCGCGGACATTGGGCCATTAGACATACTGGAAAGAATGAGTGCTCAAAGGGAGTACCTTTTTAAGCAGTGAAAATGTAATTTTGTTTAAGTCTGACGAAATTGCACTATCTTCCTCCCAAAAGCGGGGTCACGGATTTTTAATTGACAAATCCATGTGACTGCATGTTAGTGGCGTCGGTTTTATTCGGAAAAAAAATGTAAGCTTTGTAACTGGCGCGGAGTATAGAATTATGGAGTAAATACAGTAGGACAGTCGGATTGAAAACAAAAGCGAGTAATTACATTAAATCTTTAGTCTCGCTTGGATAGTTTAGCAAAATGACCAAGGAGAGTAATAAGTAAACACGCCTTGGCTCCTACAGTGTTTCACAGCCTTCTCCATAGAGAAAGCTTCGTGGTGGAGAGAGAAAGTAGCACCAGTTTATAATATGCCAGTTAGCGTGGGATAATCAGAAGTCAAAAGATTATGTGCCGCTTTTTCTTTCTAGCAAAACCAAGGGGTTATAATAGGCGATCCTTTTACGGGAAGGCTGTAAAACACTACAGAAGTTAGTTCTTAGTTATAAGGCAACTAACTGCGAACCACAATCTTTGACCTTCTTGGAAGTGTGTATATTGCTTCGCTTTTTGGCAGTGAAGCGAGGGATTTTGGAACGGATAACGGCAGATTAAGACTTGGAACAGTGTTGAAGGGGCATTTGTGTGAGTCAATCTAATCGCAACTATATCTTAGGGCTTGTGTCAGGGCGACCTGAAGAAAGCCAGTGAAAGCGGTCTTTGAGGTATTTGTATGCTCTCAAGTCACCTGAGCGAGCATGGCCTTCGAACTTTTCTGCTCGAGCAGCACGCCCACAGAGTCGGCCTAACTCGCCGCTTTCCTGATGTGATCTCACCTCTTGGTATGTGACCGTCTTGAGAAACTTCCCAACCCATAACCCTCCAGTGAAGCGAGCTGCTTTCTTCGTAGGCAGCACATGATTTGTACCAATGACCTGTTAAGTGTTATTAAGTATTACTTTCGAAACAAACGCTCTGAGAATTACCTTATCGCCGTAGGATACACAAGTCTTTTCTCCTAGGAAGAGAGCCCCATAATTGCTCATTTTCTCTAAAGCTTCCCGGGGATTTTCAGTCAAGATTTGAACATGTTCGGAGGCGAAAGTGTCGGCAAGTTTATATGCCTCGTCTAGCCAGCCAACTACGATAACCTCGCCAAAAGTATTCCATGATACCGAAGCCAGTTCTGCAGTGGGCAAAATCTTTGATAACCTTTCAAGTTCCTTGATTGACTGCTCTCCTACTTCCTTTGAAGTCGTGATGAGAATAGCTGGGGTATCTGGTCCATGTTCTGCTTGAGAGAGAAGATCCGTAGCAACGGTTGTTGGACAAGCTTTGCCATCAGCCACAATGAGAACTTCGGTTGGACCAGCAGGTAGGTCTATGCCAATCTCGCCGAAAAGTTGACGCTTTGTCTCAGCGACAAACGCATTTCCAGGCCCAGCAATGAAATCAACTTTTTCGATTGTGCTGGTGCCAATGGACATTGCTGCAATCGCTTGGACCCCTCCTAGCAAGTATATCTCATCGGCACCGGCCAAGTACATTGATGCAATAGTTGATGCAGGAATCTCCCCCCTGATAGTTGGAGTACAGGCGATAACCTTAGGGACTCCAGCAGCTTTCGCAGTAACAATCGTCATATGGGCCGATGCTAACATGGGATAGCGCCCCCCAGGAACATAACTGTGGTCAAAAGAATTAGCTTCAAGCTTTGTATAATAAGCTAATATGGATCACACACGCTCCCACCGAACCAATTGGGATATTCTTCTGTCCCAAATGAACACCGGGTCGAATCTCCATTTCAAAATCCGTCAAGGACTTGCGCTGCGCAAGTGCGAACGTGCGAACATTGTTCTGAACTGTGATAATGTCATTATAAGTGGCCTTTGGGACAGTTGCAATGATCTTTTGGATCTCAGCGCTTGATAGTCTGAAAGATGGCGGTGACCATTTGTCAAATTTCTCCGAATAAAAGCGAACTGCCTCGTCTCCCCTTGCACGAATGTCATTAATAACACCTTTGACAATCCCAGGCACATCTGTGGACAACTGAGAAGCAGAGAAAGCTCCAGAAACGTTTCTTGATTTGAGATACAGAACCATAGTGAGAGGCGATATAAGTGACTATAGGTTGTACGAAAATAGACCGAGGTATTCAACCCAAGACTCTATGGGTGTTTATTGCACTTATATAGACATAAATAACAAGAAACCTAGTGCTATCGGGAACCTTTTGAGATCTCACGGAATATATTGTAAGACGCCCCGCAATCTAATTGATTGGTTGGTTAGTTGATAATAGGAAAGAGGGGCCTATAATCCTATCATTCCAGTAAACTTCTAGCTTAACTTTCGGGACATGGCGCTTTCCAGGGTCCCTTTCTAGCCGAAAGACCCGAGAAAACATCCTTGTTCACCTATACTTCCAGGCTTTACAACGGGGGTTTTACCCCGGATTGTTTAACAATAGAAAGTCTACTGGTATGCTCTCTAACTCGTTAAGATTTAGCTAGGTGGTATCCGGCGTGCCTATATCTACCTAGGTATATTCTAATATGAAATATTATTTGTAATACTATTTGATCTCGATATCTATAAATAAATCAACCATACGTAATTATACTATAATCATATTTCCTTGTCTAGAATCTAGAGATAATAAATCTGTTTCTAATAATTTGTTCTACCAATTTAAAATCCCGGCAAAGTTCGGTTGCGCCTTGTACTGTAACCCCCCCCCCCCCGCATTCTCCCCAGTCTTCCCACAGTCTCCCCAGTCTTCACAGTCTCCCCAGTCTTCCCCACTCCCCGCCGGCAATGGCAATGAAACACTACCACCACCGCCGGTTAACACAACACAACACATCCGCCTCTACCTCAGCCCTCCAGCAACTCATCTGATGGCGACAGCTTTTGTCAGGCAGGATGGCAAAGAGCCGACTTTTAAACGTCAGCGAGCAACCCAGGCATGCGAATGTTGCCGCGCGAGAAAGGTCCGATGTAACATCAGCGACCAGTCTCCTTGTTCCAACTGTCTATCATTGCATGTAGTCTGTGTGCCAGCTCCACCGCGAAGGTGTGCACACCTCTACTCTACCTCTACTTTATACTTCCTGTTCTAACTTACTCTCTCTGGGCTAGAAACAGGTACAATTCAAGCAAACGACGCGACAGACCTGCGGTGTATAATCGACCAAAACGCTCCCAATTCGTCTCCCACTCAACTTCCCCTGCTGCAAACCAAGACTGTCCCTCGATACAGTCAACGCAGTCGCAACGGTCCCAACAAAATGGGATCCCCTCAAATGGTCATCGTCGATTTTCCGATTCAGAGCAACGAACAAGAGAAGCTCCAACACAAGGTGGTTACCCACATAGTCCATACATTGGCAGTAGTAATGGGTCAACTGGCGGCGGCGTATCTGTGACAGCCGATGATGCAGTTTGGGTTCGACAACTGAATAAAGAATCACGGGGGAATATAAACTCACACAGTCACCACAGCAAACGCATACGATTCAGCGGCGAGACCTTGGCGCATTCCATCCTACCCAATATGGATGGTCACGCAGAGATACCCCCAAGTCCGGATGATGAAGTGATGGTCCCTGTTGACCGTGAGGTCCTTAGACAGGGAGCCCCCACAGTATCAGACGACATTCTCGAAGGCAATCCATGGAAGTGGGCTGACTGTCAAGCACATATGGATCTTCTGAGACATCTTCCAGAAGAAGACCGCCACTATTTGTATATGGCAAAAAAAGTATTTAGAATCCCACTTCCTTCCATCGCAAACAAATTGATTGCCCTGTTCTTCCGCTTCGTATATCCTTTGTATCCCATAGTGGATCGCCAGTATACCGTGGAAAGCTACGAAAAATTGCAAAATGACCAGGGAAGTTCACCACTTCTATTTCACGCCATATTCTTTTCGGCATGCCAATATGCACCCGAGCATCTGCTTCATGAAGCAGGATTCTCTAGCGTGGCTGAAGCGAAGTCGTATTTCTTCCAGCGCGCAAAGGTTCTTCACGCGTTTGATTGCGAGCCGAATCAAATTCATGTTATTCAGTCATTGATGCTACTAAGCTCTTGGTGGATGGATTATACGGAAGAAAAAGAAACTAGATATTGGCTCAGTAGTGCAGTACATCTTGCTCTTACCATGGGTATGCACAGGACTGTGTCAGGGTCCGTTGAAATGTCCCAAGCTCACACAGTTCTATGGAGGAGAATCTTTTGGTTACTACTTGTAAATCCTCCCTACACCCCCACCTCATCTATCATTGAAATATTAAAAAGTCGGCTAATATTGAAAGGCTCGCGATCACAATGTTGCTCTAGGACTTGGCCAGCCATTTCTACTCCATCTAAAGAATTGTGATATAAGTCCATTATCAAATTCGGACTTCTATGAGAATGAAAATTGGGAACACGATTTTAAAGACTTGGTACCAAAACAACTACCTTGTCACATCCATGCTGCTATAAAGTATGTACAGCTGGCAACTGCAAGTATGTTGAAGCAAATCTCGTTAAAAGCGCAAGATCGACTAACGTCTACCTAGTGGAAAATGCACTACTTGCCTTTCCTGAACGCGGGGAGCCTGAAGTCATTTTCGAGCGATCAACAACCTTGAACGAGATAGGTTTACAGGACATTTCCATGTCAACTACTCCGACTTCAAACAACTTTTCTCGGGAAGACGTGTCCTCGTGGACTGATGAGAATGTCTGTATGGTGTTCTTGCTTCTCAACTACGAACGATTTGTGACCCTTCTTCATCGCATGGATGAAAAAGTGCTCAAAGCCTCCTCTTGTGACGCTTCCAACACTGCCATGAATAGAGAAGATAGACACTCAGCGACCAATACCCAGCTGGAGCGTAAACGAGCTCTGGCTGAAGTTCGAGCCAATATCTTATCCTCGGCCACGCGAAGTATCAGGCTTTTTGAGGATCTACTGGCTCGGGACTTGCTACGTTATTCGCCATCTTTTCTGTGAGCTTAGTAGTATGCCCCGTTGTCAAATACCACTCACTGATCATAAATATTTCTGCAGGACCACCTCGCTCTTCCACGCCCTCCTATCTCTCGTGGAAGAGATACTTGATTGTGAAAAGCACACGAGCCAATATCGCATCGCGGTCAGTAGATTCAACATGGGCCTCGAAGTGCTAGGCGAAATGCGGAAGCTCTATTCGGCGTCGACATGGGGTTATTTGATGTTTAAACAGCTCATGCTTAATGACTTTAGCAACATCAAGCCTTCTAGAAATCCGGGGACTGCGCTGGACGTTGCTTCACCTCGGGGCTTCTCGGGCTTCTCAACCGACGTAGGGAGTTCTTGGTATTTAGAAGGGGAGGATTGTCTGCTAGATCCCATGCAGTTTCTGGCTGATCAGGATCTATTTTTCCCGGATGTACCAGAGGAAAGACAATCTCTCAGCCTCAAATAGGCGTTGTAATTCTGTAATATAAGAAGAAAGCTGTTAAGCTGTTTATGTGCAAACTTGGAGGTTGAAGCACTGCGGGCACGACCAAGGAGGCTAATGATAAACCTACCGTCGGCACGCCAATAGTAGTAGTATATATGAAGACTACCTATATTTTATATATAGTAGAGGCCTCTTTTATGAGAGCTTTTACAACGAGCTCCAACCAGCCTATATTCACGTGACTCTCGTCCCTATACAGCCCTACGTCAATAGTGCTGGCTATTTCGGAGGCACATAGAAATGCTATGCCGCTTTCTAAATATAGCTTAAGCCTCGTTCTCACTTGAATGTTACGTAGTACGATGAAAATAGGAGGAGAAATAAATAGGTACCATCTCAATCCTACGGGTGGCATGTTTCTCATCTGCCGGGAGCAGTACAAGATCGTGGTGGTTGTCCGAGAGGTACATGGAGAGGTCGTGCTAGCTCTTGGATCACATTCTACGCCTCCATCTCGCTTGAAATCCCGTTGCCATATGCTGTGCCTAGGAGAAATGCACTCTATTAGAGTTACCCATCATTTCACGGTGGAGCAAAGCCGTCACAAGTAGAAGGCTTCTAGACCTGAAGAGGTCAGGAAATCAACAATTTTTAAGATGAAAGTGCTTTAAAGCTTTGCTTCCAAGAGTTTAGTGTTCATTTTAGAGGAAGGAATGTTGTACCTTAAGCTGGAACTCTAATTATAATCATCTTGAGGCCAAGGCAACGTTTCTATCTTTCATAGTGTGATTAGTAGTGTCATACCAAATGAATTGGTAGTAATAATCGAAGCTGTTGTTTTCCATTACTTATCAACCCCGAAGAACTTTCTGTTAGGGACTTTTTGATATCGGCATGTCTAGAAAATAAGGTCTTGTGGACGTCCTGCATGTGTTACACCGCCACTGCATGTGTCAGCGCATTGCGTTGAGTTGGCTGGGGTAGTCGGCCAGCATTTTCCATCCTTCAGGCAAAAGTATATATACGCGTGTGGCGTAGCATGATTCGGGAATGCTGTATCTCGGAGCTTCTTGATCGATAGTAGCTTCCTATGAAAAAAACTCTCAACGTTCGAGGTTCTGGCCCGCTTGACAGTCCTCTCACATCCGATATGCAGGTGACTTAAAGAGATGAAAATTGGCACATGGATCTGCCATGGCATATTTCAACGGCTAAGCTCAGTTTCTTTATCGCTTGAATTTGATCACTAGAAGATTCCAATCCTGACTTGGAGCACGCGTTTTCTGTCCTGCAAATCGAGCTTAATAAGTTTTGCTTAACCTTTAGCAGCCGCTTCATTAAGACATGGCAGAACCAAAACCCCATGCACCTAATAGGCAAATTACAGACTGAGATGCCGACGAGAAAAATCCTTTGAATTGGTCAATGCCAAAAAGCGTATACTATACAGTCCTACCGGCTATTCGGAGTGGTTGTATATGTTTACTCTCTTTCAAGTAAACAGTATTTCTAATTATTAAGACATAGTACCTTCGCATTATTGATGTAAACATCCACTATTCCTAATATCATAAGCGTCCTCTGTGTCTCTGACGTAGCTGCTTTGCTACTATCATGCGCAGACGAACAGAATAAGTGAGAATAACTTTACTTCTAATAGTCGCGCTAAGATAAAACCGGCTAAGTCGGGTCTATATAGCATCTATAAACAATTTAAATTTATAAAAATTTATAAATCATACCTTAAATTTTCAATTTATGATAAGAACCATTTCACTTTCTGAATCGCTTCACTTTATGACAATTCATATTTATGGTTTATTATGGAGAACTATTAAGAGGGACCATTCTACCTAACTGAAATACTAATTAAACTCTGATGATAACGTCATACTCGCCTTCTGATCCTGGAATTCCCAAGAATTGAATATAAAACCGGATCTTGGGAATGCTAATATGACAGCTGCTGGGATACCGGAAAGCAAATGATTTGATGACCCTTCTTGAATCGACAATAACATTGTTATGAGAGAATAGGAATTCCTCGCTGCCACGTTACTTTGGATTTCACATTCCTAGTTTGTCTCAAGGAAAAATGGATATGCAGAGTCTTGAAACATTTCTCTGCTACTTGGCAAAGTTTAATTAAGAGCCTTCTCTATAGCCTTAAATTTTAAACTTATTTGGCTTCTTATCGAAGTTAATATTACCTTCTGAATTTTAATCCTTAGGTCGGATAAGTGAGGAAATTATAGATTTTAGAGGGTTTTCAAGCAACTATATATGAACTAAGCATATAGTCTTTGAACTTTAATTGAAGAATATAATAATATACTAAAGGTATTTCTTAACATATACATGTAAAGTTTCTTTATATCCATTTTATTCATTAAGTTATATGCCTTAGAAGTTGGTAAGTTTGAGTAGGTTTATCGCTTAGTTAAAACTTTATCAAGTATATAAACGTTCCATGGGCGGAATAAGATGCATGATCATTTTCTTGAGAAGTGCCCATTTTAGCAAATAACATAATTTTCTCGCTCGTCTAAAATAGTTTCAATCCAATGTTGAGATGTATTCTTCTCTGCGCGTTTGCCAGCATCTCATCCAGCTACAATGTGCCGGACCACAAGCCGACAATCGAGGACCCCCTCAAGATCCCACAATCGCTGTTCGCGAATAAGCATGCTCCAACCTATGGATCTGGAGTTCTGCAGTTGCCGGTCAAGGTGCATGATGGCAACTTGGAGAAACTCAATTTCGGAGAAAGGCGGAAGAGGCAGAGCAGTGATCCCCTCGCAAATATAATCAACGGCTACACGATTGATAGTACGCACCCTTTACGATCTTGGGTTCATCTAAAGTCTACTCTAACATGAAATTATCAGTATTGTTAGGAACTCGAAGCCAGGAAGTTACCGTAATCATGGACACAGGCTCGTCCGAACTCTGGGTCGATCCCGAATGCAGCAACTCCTATAGCCCCACCGATTGTGCCAACTTTGGTCGTTACACCCCTAGCCAGTCATCCACGTCCCATGATCTTGGTACAACAATCGCGATCCAATATGGGACGGGTTCTATGAATGGCGAATATTTTACCGATAATCTGATCATGGGAGGTTCGCTGAACGGAATAGGAGGTACTTACTTGCATTACCCTTGAACATAGCTAAGGATTTGACTAATCTTAAACAGCAGCAAGAATTACTGCTCAACAGTTTGGAGTCGCAAATACGAGTATGTTCTCAACGCTAGGAATCATGGGTGTAGGATTCGGTTACCAGCTTGATACGAACTATTATAATATCATCGACCAGCTATATGTGCAAGGTGTTACCAACAGCCGGGCTTTCAGTCTCGACCTTGCTAGTATCGACGTTTCTCAGGGTATGACTTCCAATGCTTTGATTTGATATCACACGGAAAGTAATTTCTTTAGGCTCAATAATTTTCGGAGGCATAGACACAATGAAGTATATCGGCGCGCTCGAGAAACGTCCCATTATACCATACCAACTTTCACCAGATGGATACCCAAGGTATATCCCCTTTCTAAATCATGGGTCCAAGGCTTGCTAACATGTCTAGATATTGGATCTACATGACTTCAGTCGGTGTCACTCCGCCCGGCGCCTCCTCCTCGACTCCAGTCACAGCAACTGGTTACAACCAGGCGATTTTCCCCGACAGCGGTACTACTATATCTCAACTCCCAACAGCTCTCGTTAATGCTCTATTACCTTACTTCCCTGGCGCCGTCAGCCAAGGTGGCGGGGCTTATACTGTTCCTTGCAGTTATAGAGACCAAGCAGGGACCATCGACTTTGGGTTTGGAAATACAACTATCCACGTTTCATACCACGAGTGGTTCTGGTTTGACGGGCAAGATTGCTACTTTGGTGCTCAAGCTACGCAGTCTACTTTTCTATTAGGAGGTATGTCAGCTCCGGCTCTTCGCACAAGGTGGAAGCTGATCAAAGATTCGAAATATAGATTCCTTTATGCGATCAGCATATAGTAAAACTCTCTTCTCTAATATTCATTCATTTTGCTAATTGGATTCAGTTGTATACGATCAAGATAATGCCAATGTGCTCCTCGCACAAGCAGCAAACTGTGGCACCAACGTTCTAGCAATCGGCACAGGTGTTAACGCCGTCCCATCAGTCACTGGTGGTTGTACAGCATAAGCGATATCCAATTTTGCGAAAGCAACCGCATTTTCTCCTAAAATTTCAATAATGACAACGAGCAGTAAAATCAGTTCTTCCTCGAGCATTGCAGGGAATCCTCCAGGTTGACCGAGCACTTCTTCTCGGAATTTGACCTATATGAAAGCAGGTGCTTTAGAATAATACAGCAGCAATACTCAGCCTAGTCTACCAATCACATCTCGTTAGTTTATTCAGTAATTGTAACGATCACCACATCCGCGCGGGGAATGTGTACAGCTGTAGGACAACTATTTATATATTAGTACGGCCTTTGCTATTATAATAGATTTCTACCACTGACGTTTTGTCATTCGTAGCTTCCGTTTTACTTTCCAGTGCTTTGATCCAATTCTGTTAGGGTTTACGAGATTTGTTCTGTATTGAAAACAGTTCATTTGTTCAAAATATCGTTGCTCCTGTTACACTAAGCGAATGAGACGTTGTACATACACTGGCACACTTCGTGTTTTATGATTCACATACCGACTAAGTGTGTGTAGTCTAGCTGCACTTACAAGTGTCGCAATCTATCATCTGGTAGAACGGGTCGACGACGCTCTCTTTCTAGGGATCAGCTGGAATCTCTAGAGTCTCAAGATGGAGTTCCTTTGCCATTCCTATAAAGACGCTATTAGCATACTCTCAGTATCTCGTGAAACATCAAAACGTCACGATAGATCTATCTGTTACCAGAACACTGAATCGGACGACGTCGGTATTGAATCAAAATACTTACTCTGAATGAATAGGCAAAGAAGGATGGCTCTGAACATGCATGAGTCAACACTGCTCAAAAGCAGCGCATATGCTTAATAAGTCTCTTTGTCCGTATCCTCGAATGAAGACAAGATAGGTAGATATTTGATTTCCAGATGCAGCTATGTTCTGGGGCAGCCAGCGTTAGCTGAAAGAAAAAAAGAAAGAAAGGTGTGTGGGGATAGGGATAAAGGATCATTAGGTATGCAGTGGACTGGGACTGTAAATAATTGCACTGGTGGAGGAAAGGCGAACTTGACAATCACAATCAGAATCACCGCTTTAAGAGTCACAGAAAACCCACGTACTTTGCAATTCAGTTTAGAACTCAACTTCACCAGCACCTCCCCTCATCACACCACAACCAACCATGCCCCGCCGACCCCGCCACCTAACA